TAGCACAAAAGAGGGAGAGGGGAGAGAGAGAGAGAGAGAGAGAGAGAGAGGGGTGAGAGGGAGAGAGGGGGGCAGAGGGAGCGAGAAAGAGAGAGAACGGGAGAGAGACAGAGAGAATGCATGGAAAAAAGAAAGACTATTGATGATCAATGCCATAGGAAATACAGAGTGATCTGTTTCACCTTTGAATAGAAACAACTTGTATGCGACAGTTCCTTAAAATCCAGAGTATAGATGAGGCAGGAGAGTACAAGAAGGAAACAGAGCAGTAGTTGTATACAGCTCAGACAGTTTTCAACCTCTTTTTTGCTCATTTGCGAAATCTGGAAGATTTGACACTGATCTTCCAGACTGAGAAATAACATTGAAGGGTTTGTTTGTTATTTTGCAGTGATCTCAAAATGATCTGTTGATTTAATCAACAAAATGCATTCATACAAGTATTTTTGTCACGTAATCTCTCATTTTTTTAAAGATTTAAAAGCCATATAAATGAAACACTATTTAAAGAAGACCATCAACAATCATAAGGGAAACAATATTTTATAATTTTTACATTACATTAACTATGATCATAAGATTTCCTGTGTATTATTTATGAAAGTCATAATATTATGAAAAGTCTTAAAAGATTTTCACTGTCTTCAAAGATCATTTTTAGTTTTTGGGCTGGTGCATTTAAAGCTAATGAATATATGGCATAAATCTAACTAAAATTGGGAGTTTCAAGTGAAAATTAATCATGTAGTATCAAAAGTAAAATGTGAGTGGTGTTTATTTTCTGTTTTTGGTGTTTGTTATTTGTTGTTTTTCTAAATCCCTTCAATAATTATGTGAGGAAAATTACAACGTTTTAAAATTAGATTGATTCTCTAGCTGACTTTGCTGTCTATAACAACACTCTTAATCTATTTTTACAATTAATTATCGACAGAGCACTTCCGCATCTGTTACCTGCATTCCCCTAGCTTTTCCGAGACTCGTGACTCATTTCCACGTATCAGATCGGACCCACAAACGAGGGCGCATACCCGGAGTGTCAGACGGTAATCAATCACACACTGTTACACACATGGTGTAAACTCATTAACGACGATCAATCAACGCTCTCATTCATCAGCGTTTCAGGGTTACGGGCTAGGGTCTCTTTAGCAGACCTTCGCTAAAAGGTTCTTTGACACGTGCTCCGACAATGATTGCCGGGCTGTCAATTTGTGACAGTATGTGAATTCCTAACATCAACTCTGGATGAAACACTGCACCTAACCCTAAACCTAAAACTAATCTTAAACCCAATTTGCAACCCTCACCTTATGTAACCTAATACAGGATCACCTTTCTTGTAATTTTTTGACAATTGAGAAATTAGACCCAATTTGATGAAATAACTTCAACTTGAAGTACAACCTGACTAGAATGTATTTTTATTAAAAATTGGGTAAATGGAAGAAACAAATCATTAACATTGAAAGATGACAAATCAACCTTCTATCAAATGATTTTATGTTTAAAAAAAAAAAAAAAAAACATTTGATGTGTTAGATCGTATGACTGTACCAATATCAATTTCATCTGTAAAAAAAATTCACAGAAGAGGTCAAACACAGGAAAGCTCAAAAATTACTTTTAGAAGGGAAAAAGAAGTTCTTCATGAAATCACAAATAAATAAATACACTAAAGAAAATCTCATTATTTAAAATAAAAAAAACTGCAAAGAGCTATGGAAAGAAAAATATTTTGTACAATTCCTATTCATCTCACACCATATCCAATATGCAGATTACTGCTAGCTCAGGCTACAGCTACAATGGCAATAAAGATAATCACATACCATGAATTTATTGATGGCAATATACATGATTAAATGTAATTTTACTTGTCCCACATGATGTAATGTGAATGCACCAATGGCAATCAATTAAACCATGAAAGGTTAAAGGTGAGAGTTGTTACAGTACACCACTTCTTCCTTTAGATCACAATCTAATTCGAAGAACTATGCACAGGTACTGTCGATTCTCATTTGATTTATGCAGCTCAGAACGCCAACACAAACACATACCTGATTAAATGTAATTTATTACTTGCCACATATGTGGAATGAATGCATTAATGGCAATTAATTGAACAGAATCAAGAACGGGTAATTATGCACACGTACTGTCAAACCTTGTTTCATGTATGCAGCTCAAAATGCCAACATAAACACATATATATCGTCCCTATTTTCACGAAGTGACGGTAGTGAGGAAAATCGTAACGCAAAGTGAATGCAATTTTTGTTCACTACCGTCACTTCGTGAAAACAGCGACGATATAATTAAATGCCATTTGACTTGTCACAAAGTATGGACAAATTCATTTCGATTGATTGAATTTCTAATTAATGAGTCCTTGAAAGTTGCAAGCAAAGGTCATTATTTCAAACCATCGTGCAAACTGGAATTTAACACAGGCATGTATCACAATTTTAAAATGTTGTTTTGTTGACAATGTTCTACCCTGGCATACAAAAAGAGTATAGCTTCTTAATGATTTTGATTATTGATACTGTACATATTTATTTTAAGGTGGTTTTAAGGCAGCTGAAACAATATTTTTATATATTCTTTTTATATATTTCATATATAAGATGGTAGGTCAAAGACTGAAACTGCCAACCTGGCGTATCTTTTCCCCTATTAATAAAGAAAGTTGCATTTAAGAGAAAAGCAGAGTAGAAAAGGGGATAAAAAGTAATACATTTTGAAGTATAAATTATACAATACAAGACAACTGATTGGGAAGAATAATACTAGTAAGAGAAATATTAAAAGAAAGCTTTAAAAAAAAATAATTTAAGGGTGTAAAAGGGAAACAAGATCCAACAGAGATACAAAATCTAGAGATAAAATTACATGAGATGAAAATAACTGGAAACAGACACAAAACATGAGGGTAATCTAAATAATGAAATAGAAAAGTATAAACATCAAAGCCACAAAAGGGAGAATAACCATATAAGAGAAGATGATAGACGATGATAATCTAGGGATAACAACACTGCCTGCAAAACAAAAACATAAATTCATATTTTTTAGATTAAAAACGGATGTGATCAAAATTTAGACAAAATCTGCAAATGGCCGAGAAAGCAACACACAAAGAACACAACAGGGACTTGTTAGTAATAAATCAAATATATCTGATTCTGGTCACGATTTATTGAACAGAGATGAAAATATCTGCCAGTGGTCTACAATGAATAAACAAGGGGCCTCACAATTTCATAACAAACATAGTATACAAGATGGAAATGCGATCAAGATTAATTCTACAAAAACAGGTATGAATATATAACTCCTTCAGGCTTATTGGAGCATCGCAAAAGTCGATAACAAAAGTTGGTTTTCAATATGAAGTTGAAAAAGCACTAGAAATGAGAGTGATGAATTAGTTAACAGAATTGAAAACAATTTTTATAAACTTTATATTAAATTGGGGGGGGATAGAGAAGGGTATGAGATTAAAAACACGAATGATGCATAGACTGGATTGTTGTTAGGAACTTCATACATAAATTCATTAGTTTCATTGATGAGGGGGCTATGGAATGGGGGTGATGGAAAAGAGGACCGGTCTTGGGGGAGAGATGAAGTTTGGATGCAAGTCTCATTTTAACGAGACCTGGGGTAATATTGTCAATATGCGATGGCGTCACAGCAATCCTTTATGTCAGTGCAAGTATGTTCAACGTGGGTAAATTCAGAAATCTGATACTTTTCTCCCACTGTACTGAGCACCGCTGCCATAGACGAGAGGGGTGATTTGTTCTTCTGCTTTATTTGTCTGTCCGTCTCTCTTTCTGATGCTTTCACTCCATCTCCTCTTTTTGTTTTATTCTTTCATTGCTTTTACTCTTACTCTTACTCTCACCTTCACACTGTCTCCCTCTCTCCATCTCTATTCCAAAATTGGCCTCATGATATATATATATCCAATATACCTGTCTGATCTTTCCTCCTCCTCAACTCTCTCTCTCTCTCTCTCTCTCACACACACACACACACACACACACTCACTCACTGAATTATATTATACACATACAATTATGTTTATTTTCTCCTCTATTTATCATCTATTGATATAGGTTTCCCTGTAAAACTATTTTTTCTTTGAATTCATCTGTATAACAAATGATAGCATGTGTACTGTATAGACTTTGAAAATTATGTTTGTAATAGTCTTGAAGTACAATAGTTCATTGAGAAATAAACAACACTATGCGGGAGAAATGCAAGGACAACACAGGGAATTAAAAGGGAGTAAAGCTATGCAAGAGAAGAGAGAAGTGAAATTGTACAGAGAAAAATCCAAGGTCACGCAATGATAATTCTGACAGCCATTTGGCATGTAATGGCAGGCTCTTAATTCCACCATCGATTGGAGATTGTGCATGGAGTACCTCATTTTAATCCCTAATGGAATGCACTTTACCCCTGCTTTTTAAAGCCTTGTTTAGATATGACGCGGCAAATCAGTAGCTTTTTTGTTTTTACCATAACTCAAAGTGTAATAAGCGTCATATTTCTCTATTGTACAACACAAAGCTCAGTGAATAATATGCGCAGGACCTTTGTTGCGCACAGATGCCATTTATTTACATTGGAAATAAAGCGAGGCAAATTTTTTTTGGGGGGGTCGGTTTAACATGCCATATCTGAACAAGCTTTAACATTTCAGCAGAAAGTTGATTTATGCATTGCAGTAGATCTGCAATTTGTGCTTCAGCAGCCTTTAATCACACACCACTAAGCCTGCCTGCCTATGAATATATCAACAGATATATGTCTACAATTATACAAATCCATTCCCAATAACGATAAAGTGAGTGGGATTTTCCCTGCAAAGAAATGTCAACAACAAGCTGCTATAAATATGAATGACTAACTTTTCTTCATCTCTCTCTCTCTCTGTCTGTCTCTCTCTGTCTCTGTCTCTGTCTCTCTCTCTGTCTCTCTCTCTCTCTCTCTCTCTCTCTCTCTCTCTCTCTCCTTGTCAAGGCTGCACGAGCCTTTAAAGATTGCTAGAATATGTGCATATATGCAATGCTATTTTCTCTAAGGTCGCATCCATATAGCAAGTCAAATTATTCACGTTTCAGATAAGCAATTTCAGCTATAAATACGAACTAAATAAACAATTGTATTGTATTGTATCTCTCTCTCTCTCTCTCTCGTTTTCTTTCTCCTTACCTTTTCTATGATTTGTATGGATTCATTCATTAAATTAATCTCTTTTTCATGAAACCGTCTTTTACTTCCATTACATACTTTTAATCATAAAATACCAAAAATCATCCTTTTAACATGTTCATATCTACTATAGACAACACAAATGCTACAAAGAGAAAAATTATTGCGCTTCAACTGATTTGAATTCAAGGTTGCTTACAAGTTGTAGTACCGAACTGCAAAGGTTAAAACATTCTGGAACCATAAACAGAGAAGCCTTTCTTGATATACAAAAGAGGACATAAGCAAACCTACAGCAATGCTGAAAATCTGCAGAGCAAGATCGACATTCAGCAAGTGGGAAGCTAACAAGTGGTTTAGTCTGGCAGGGAGAGGGCAGCAGACACGTTTTGATTCCATAGCTTCATTGAGTAGTCAGTCACTAGCTATGCATTCGCAGTCCTATCAACTGACTGTCTAGAGTGTTCTGTTCACTTTGGCTCATGAGCTGAAAGGACTAAAATGATATCTTTATGAGGAGGGGTACGTACTCACTGCCACAAGAATTTGAACTTTTAAACCTTTGGGTTGAAACAAAATTTACCTCTGGAAAGACCACAAATGCAAATAAACAACCAAATAAGTGCAGCTACAGTTTACATTGTACATCGCTACTAAGGAGAGAAGGCGTGATAGCTCAGTCGGTAGAGAAGTGGTCTCGTATTCCGGTGACCCCGGTTTAAAACCAAGGCGATGGTAAGGCATTAATCCTCATAGCCAGGTCTCTCAGAGAGGACCTTAAGCCGTCAGCATTCATGCTTTCTTAGCAGTCAGGTAAAATAACCACCACCACTATAAAGTCCCATACCATCTCAACCCACATGGAACCTCAATCAAGAATCAAATGGTAATGATGTCTGCCTCCCTCTCAAGCCCAATAAGGGATAGCAGCCTACCAGACAGGATTCTAATCAGGACGTACTTGAATTGTTGACGACTCATCTCCTATCACACTCCCACCACAGTGACCACACTATATCATGCTTTAACACAAATAAATATCTATGCATATCAAGTCTGGCAATCTTAGCAGGGGGGGAAATGTTCAGGCATTTGTACGCTTCATTCACTTTCACATCCATTAACTACTCTGATTTGGAATGAACATTCAATATTACATTATAGGTAGCAGGCTCATAGACACATCTCTCCTTCTTATGGCAACTAAAAGTCAATTTCAGCTCTTTATTTTTTTTTAAGAGAACAAAAACAAACAAAAAACAAAAAAAACATACAAACAAAAAAAAATCGTGTTCCAATAGATCGTTTGCTACAAGACAGAAGGGCACTAACTTAGAACTTTTAAATTAATATATAACATCCTTCTGCCTCTCAGCAGATGATATTTCATTGGCAATTTGACACAGCTCCCTAGAGGGCAGGATGGAAATGAAACTCGTGCTATACCTACAGAGAAAAACAAAAAACAGCCGAGCTTGACCTCGGACAAACTTACCAATCTCTGAGTGGCGGATTTCGAGTCCTCTTGGACCTTTTGTAGCTCGTCCTTAAGGGCGCTATTGGCGTCTTCAAGAGCCTTGAGTTTAAGGATGCCACTACCGGTAGAAAGGGTGCGCTGTAGGTCCCCCTGTAAAGAATGAAATACAGAGGTTAATGTGGTTCTTCATTGTGAAATGCAAAACGGAAGGCAATCAGATGATAAGCATGTTGTATGCCACACATGGACAGTGATAATATCTCTGTGGTTAATTAATGAATAACTTCAACCCCAAAGCCATACATTATAATAGCCCTGAACCTTTCTAAAGCATAATTATACACATAACAACAAGCCATGTTAATGTATCATACCATGTTCTGCAATATAAAAAAATGAAATCTATATATACCAAGCTGACGAAATGAAGTGTATCATAAACACTTTGCTGATATCAAAGATGCACTCCCTTTTACGTTCTCTCCTAAATGAAATGGACTCACAACTTCTTCAAAATGATGTTGCTTCTTTTTGCTACTGGCTTACAATGTCACCCTGCATAGTTCCATCTCATGAAATTACTGCAGTTAAATACCACAATCTTCCAATTTTCATTTGAAAGCATTCAATTATCATTAGGAAAAAGGAAGAAAAGCCTTTTCATCCAAAGAAAAATGTAGTATATTCCTAGACCCCAAATGCAGTCCAAGTATACATTATGCTATCAAAAGCTATACGAGGAGCTGGTGCATTAACATGGATTTAATACCTTTTAGCTCCACAGAAATGATAAAAATCAATATTCTATTTCCAATATTGGGATGATCAGAAGCTCACTCATTAAAATATGATGATACACAACACAGTCAAGCTTGTATTCTCTACATCAAAACATGTTGCACAAAAGAAACAGCATATATGCATGCTAATAAGTCATTTGCATGATTTACTCAGCGCTAAAAATGAAACTGTACGTATATATCCATTGTCGCTTCTTGGTTATAGTGGATACATGCCTGTGAAAAGATACATGCCTTGTGAAGTAGATACTTGTGGCACAAAAGAAGCAGCAGGCCATAAAATTGATTATTACATATTTCATCAGACTTGCCAGTGTTCCCAAGCATGTATGAGCATGTTGTGTGTAGCTTGTGTTGCACACTGTTTTATATTCTGACCACATAGACTACCTAACCAACTAAAGCCAGACTATTGATTGAGATAATGAAACTATGTGGTTTCTTTCATGTGGCTTTGTGAAAAAAAAATGAAATTATTCTGCTTGCTGGAATTGCTAAACTTCTGCATATGTGCAGACTTGCCTGCACCATGTCTGTTATCATGTCACTATGTTCTGCTGGGAGCTATAAGGGTATTTTAGTATGAGACCTATCTAACTCTTTATATAATAAATATTGATATCAAAATCAATATTTTTCTATGATATTGATATTAATATTAATATCAATATTCTTGGTTCATATAGCATTTTATACATTTTTTATATGTGCATGATGCTTGGCTATGATTGAGTGATATTTAGTTTGTATGCCATGTATATTTGTTCATACAATGTATATGTTTCTGTATGTGTTTGCACTTCAGAACCTGAAGAAGGCCTCACAAGCCGAAAGCTCATAATAAAATTGTAAAGTACAGCTATGTCTCACATTCCTAGACCCTTTTCTTCACGCCTATATATATATATATATATATATATATATATATATATATATATATATATATATACGCTGTCGCCAATACCTTTACAGAAATAACATTTCCCTGGTCATTGGGTTGCAGCTTTGCCTGCACACAATATATGCACATTCTCCACTCCCTAGGGAGAACTCCAGCAAAGCGCCATTTACAGACATTCACAACGTTGAGCAACCAACAACTTTCACATCCTACTGGGTACCAATTTAACACCTGGGTGGAGAGTGGCAAACGTGGATCAACGTCCTGCCAAAGAATGTTTGTGCCAGGCTGCGATTCGAACCCTCAACCCTTGGATAAAGATTCAAGTAAATGAACCACTATACCACATCACCGCTGCCTCAGGTAGAAATATGTGCGAAAAATCACAAGCAATTGGAATTGGTAGTTACTTGAGGGTTGCATGAACAAAAGACCCAAAATAAGATCAACCGCAAGGAAATTCAGAAGGGTTAGAATGAGCCCCAATTACTCTGCAACGTCTTCAATTTCAAGTCGGTAATAAGGGTAGGGGTTAATAGGAAATTTCAAAGGCCCACTGGGCATTACTGGATATCTGGGATCTCCATCTAGAGATTGAAAGCTTTCTATTCACCAGCTCTTGGTTTCATCCCTGTTTTAGCAGAAGGTTTGCCATTCATTTCCTTTCATTAGTTGTGTCTGTATATGTCCAACTGTGTACCTGCCTGTATGTCTGTCTGTGATTTGTTTGCATATGTTTTATTTATTCATAATATAATAATTTTGCAAATTATATTTTGTTTTTTCTCTCTCTCTCTCTATCCTTAACCCCCTGTCTGTCTCTCTCTCTCTCTCTCTCTCTCTCTCTATCTCTCTCTCTCTCTCTCTCTCTCTATCTCTCTCTCTCTTTATCTTTCTTTCTCTTTCCCCTCTTTCTCTCTCTCTTTCTCTCTTTCTCTCTCTCACTCTCTCTCACTCTCTCTTAATATTTCTATTTATCAAGAATAGGAACGCAATTTCAAATTTCTTTAAATGTCTCCTCAATGATAAAGAACACACAAACTACTGAAACGAAAAATCAATTAAAAAAATTCTATGGTTGAGATATAACGAGGAACAACTATGGCAACATTATACCCCAAAAAAGGCTAAATGAAATAATTAAAATCTATTTTTAAACACAGTTAACCAATATTTGTTTTGACAATGAAGGAAATAAGTTAACATTCATGTGCCACCCATTCAAGGTACCCTTCGAGTGACCTCATTTTTCCAGTCTAAAGAGTGTTTATGTCTACTCGACAGATGGCATATATTATCTTAAATCAAATCATATACAAAGTTCAATATCTCTCCTAGTTAGTTGGGGTTTTTTTGGAACAAATTTTGAATAAAGTGAAGAGTTCATTTGAGAAAATGAATCATCTAATGCTACACCATGAAGCAAACCTTTCCAACCAGTCAGTTGTGTATTTGCATACAAATCTTGATATAAGAAGATATCTCCAAAAAGCAAATGCCAAGGCAGGGATTGCTGGCAATATTACTCCCACTATCCATCATTAGTGAGAGAGCTGAGGAGCCTATATGAGTCCTTGAAAGGGCTCATATTATTTGACAGGCGACCAGCGAGGAGAGTGATGATGATGATGAGTTAATTACACGCTTAGCAATGATATTCAACCATTCTAATGACCCTCAGTGCTCTTGATGGGCTTGGGGGTTTTTTCCAGACGGGATTCCATCTGCATTTCAGGCAAATAAGGTAATTATAAAAGGAGGCTATATTATTTGCTGAGAGCCAGGAGGGCATTAACTTGGAATTAAATGATGCGAGTGAACACCATTCTGGCTCTAAGCAGTAGCAATATACAGTGAAACCTGTCTATAAAGACCTCCCAAGGGAGACAATAAAAGTGGTCTTCGTAGGTAGGTGGTCTTTATGTACAGGTGCTTATAATACAAAATCATTTTTCAAGGGAAAAAAATGTGGTCTTAAAGTAGACACACAAAGAAACAAAAGTGCTTTGAATTGATGCAAAACTCATATCATTGCGAAGGGGAAGCCTTACTGATCAAATACAACAACTCTCCTCTTCAAAATATGTTTGGGGCCCGCAGTAATCAACTCTCAAAAATGTTAGTTTTGAGATCCAGATTTTCTGCCTTCAGCGGTCCTTTGTAGAGCGTCAATATTTGTGACGTCACACACAGGACACGGCTGGCTAGCTGCATACTGCTACACGGCACTGAGCTGTTTGTCCAGTGTGTGACGTCACTTTTCAGAGCTCGCTACGCTTGTGTGTTTGACTTACGTTCAGGGGCGTTCGGGGGTCTAAGGAGGGTCTTGAAAAATGGCATTTTACGCCTTTCCATGATATCTATATGATTTCTCAGCAAATTGTTCGTGTTTTTCAAGAGTAAATCTTTCCATCCATATGTAATTTGTTCTAATTATGAGTTGTTACTGAATTTTCTTTGTGTAGCTCCTTTAAGTATAGACAGATGGTCTTTGTAGACAGGTGGACACTAAAGCAGGTTTGGTTTGACTGTATATAGTCTGAAAACAAAGACTCCACCCTGACACAAAATAAAAAGTGCCTTGAATCAAGTCTGACACGGGTTTCCATCGATTGTGGTAGGAGCTAGGCCGATGGATTTTTATTAGACCACAGCCTATATACTTCAAACCCTACATTTGCATTGTATGTTGCGACTGACTAGGCTAGATACCTGTAAACTATCTTATACTGATGCCATTAACCCACAATCAGTACTGAAAAATGCATGACTGTTGAGGTAGGAGTCAAGAGTGGTAACGCTTTCTCTGACAGTTCGCCAGACAATAATGGTCACATGGGGCTAATTTCTATGAAATAAAAATGATAATGATCCACTCGAGTCTAGACTTAGTCTTCAGCCGTTCAGACAATGTCTAAACCTTGAGCTGGAATTTAGAAAATCTGTTGAATGGCATTGCTTCATGTGGAAAACTCACTGCTAAAACATCAAATAGGACACTGCTGTTCAATGAAAAATCAGCTTGTTTCCAGTTTTCAAAACAATTTCATGATCATCAAAATAAATCATATTTCTAATCAATTTTTAAAAGAATGCAGAGTTTCAAAGATAGAGACAGAACATTTAAAGTTCTATCAAATTAAGTACTAGTAATAAAATGATTTCCAATTATCCATTATCAAGGGGTGTCTGTCTACTTAGCTGTGTAAAATAATTCAAAACGTAAAATGTAAATGAAAAGATGAAAAGCACTGCCTCAAATAAACCAAAACGTTTAAATATTTGCAGATTTGCAGTGTGTAAAATGCTCTAACTATTTTGTGTCAAAGTTTGTTGTTTTTGTTTTTAACCAAAAGCTGGAGGTATTGTGAATGAAAAGGGTTGAATGTGTCACTCATTCATATTCTGCCATCATGCACACTGCTGATCAGGACCTTTAAGTTATTTCT